GATCTCTTAAGAGCGATTCCTGTTCCAGAATCAGAATCAAGGATCCAGATTTTCATGATTGTGTCCGTTCCAAAGTCCCAAAGAAGTATTGTTTGCCTGCAGATGAGGTCCTGCTGATGGAACAAAGACAGATGCAGGCGCGCTTTAGCACAAGTTTATTGTAGCATTTGCAGTCTCGAGATCGTTTGCTGTGCAAGTGACCCTGTTTCTGTAGTGGGACATGTTGGTTCCATGAAATAGCTCCTCTGATTCAAGTCTATGGCTGCACTATCCAATTCTCCTTATTGGCGACACCATCTGCCATCCAACTGGACGGTGTAGACTGTCTCGAGCGGAATGAGCCACGCCGAGCGCCAAGCGGAATGCTCTTGAGGTCCGGAGAAGAGTGCTGCAAATCCAGAGGGTGTCGGACTTAGATTTTTGGTACCTATGCATCATCATGTTGCATTTGATTCTGTTCATTGTAGTCTGGGAGAAGGGCATGCCATGGCTGTTGGGATTTGGCCCAGCTAGTTTGTGATTGAAACGAGGTTCTGCTGACGCCAACATGAACACAGGCTGGCTGATTCTTGGGTTTGTGACTACTCGTGAAGTATGGCTTTGGACAAAAGTTGTTCGAATGCATGCTAGATGTGTTTGTCCTGTCAGGTGAATTCATTCAACAATAACATCCTGGTTAACGCAAGCTTTGAGTGCAATTGAGTATAGTTAAACCGATTCACAATGCTTCTGATTGATCGATGCTGTTCATCGATGCTGGTTCAAAACCGAATCCACTCTCCATGTCCCCTGGTTTGTGTTTCTTTGTGACAGGACATGGGTGGGGAACATGTGTTCTTTTCTTCAGTCGAACGTAAGGCTCTCCACTTCCACAACAGATCGATATATTTATAATACGTTTCCTTAATATTTGTATGGATTCTTTCTTGTCGAAGAAGTTAAGCCTAATAGGAGACACGGCACAAAATCGGACAAGTCTTCAGCCATGGCCATGAGACTTTCAGCTGTGCAAGTCAATGGTGACATGATTCACTTTGAAGTCACGCCAGAGAAAACAGGTCGAGAGCTAAAGCGGCAAATCAGAGCTGAGCAGATTCCGGACGAAGTGACTCGCAGCACTACCGTGGTGGAGATTATTGTTGGAGACAGGTTGCTGGGGAATGATGAGACGCTGGCAGATGCAGGGATTGTTGCTAATACTGTAAGCGTTGTCTTGAAACCAAACATCCTCAGATGCTCCAACAAAGAGGCTTTTGACAGCAGCAGCGAAGTTGACTTAGAACAGTTGATTGAAGTTGAAATCCCAGATGGTGACATTCAAATCCCTAGGATGGCCTTCCAGGCCTGCATAACCATGGCTAAATTGACCATCCCAGACTCAGTGACCCACATTGAGAATGGTGCCTTTGAGGGTTGCAGCTCCTTGAGAAGCTTGACTATCCCAAACTCTGTGACTCACATTGGCGATGAAGCCTTCGAGGGTTGCGTCTCTTTGAGAAGCTTGAATATCCCAAACTCAGTGACCCACATTGGGAAGAGTGCTTTTCTGAATTGCTACTCTCTGACAAACTTGACCATCCCGGACTCAATGACCCACATTGAGGAGCGTGTCTTTCAGAATTGCAGGCATTTGGCAAACTTGACCATCCCGAACTCATTGACGCACATTGGGACTTGTACCTTTCAGGATTGCATCTTGTTGAGAAGCTTGACCATCCCAAACTCAGTGACCCACATTGGGTGCAGTGCTTTTCGCAATTGCAAATCTCTGACGAAGTTGACCATCCCGGACTCAATGACCAACATTGGAGATTGCGCCTTTCTGAAATGCTTGGCTTTGGCAAACTTGACCATCCCGAACTCATTGACGCACATTGGGAATCATGTCTTCGAGGGTTGCAGCTCTTTGGTTAACTTGACCATCCCGAATTCAGTGGTCGACATCGGGATTGGTGCCTTTAAGGGCTGCAGCTCCTTGAGAAGCTTGACTATCCCAAACTCTCTGATCCACATTGGAGAGTGCGCCTTTCAGCAATGCTTGGCTTTGGCAAACTTGACCATCCCGAACTCAGTGACCCACATTGGCAAAAGTGCCTTTGAGGATTGCAGCTCTTTGGTGAACTTGACCATCCCGGACTCCGTGACCCACATTGAGAATGGTGCCTTTGAGGGTTGCAGCTCCTTGAGAAGCTTGACTATCCCAAACTCTGTGACCCACATTGGCAATGGTGCCTTTTTCGGTTGCGGCTCTTTGGTAGTTTTGACCATCCCGGACTCAGTGACCCACATTCCGGATGGTGCCTTTGCAGACTGTAGGTCTTTGGCGAACTTGACCATCTCCAACTCAGTGACCTACATTGGGGATAAAGCTTTTCGATACTGCTGCTCTTTGACAAACTTGACCATCCCAGACTCAGTGACCTACATTGGGGATGAAACTTTTCGATGCTGCAGCTCTTTGACGAGATTGAACATCCCGGACTCTGTCACACACATTGGCACTCGTGCCTTTGCAGGATGCCGCTCTTTGGTCTGTAGAGGGGCTTTCCTGCTCCAACTGCAAAAATATCATAGAAGAGTGTTGCTGTCATCGAATGGCACATAATGGATCATAATGGCACCGTCGAGACACAGCCTGTTGAGCAAAATAATGCGCTTGAATCTAGGATTTGACTACTCGTGAAGTATGGTTTTAGACAAAAGTTGTTTCAATGTATGCTAGTTGCATTAGATGTATTTTCATGTCGGGTGAATCTATACGTGAGCTAGTAGTGAAACCGATTCACGATGCTTCTGATTGATCGATTCATGCTTTTCATGGATCGTCCCTTTCAAACAGCATGTCCTTTTGAATCCAGCTGTTGAACCACACGAAGGTCCAGTGGAGACCAGCGCTGACGCAAAGCCAGAGGGTATTGGGCTTGGGTTGGAGTTTGTATTGTTTCACCAGTTGGAGTTTGTCTTGTTTCGCCAGTCGTAGAAAGAGTACTATTTTTACTTATTTTTAGTCTATGCACAGGTTTGTCCATGTGTTTTTTGTATGTAGGAGGTCAATAGAGAGGACCAACATTGCGTATTTTTATTGGTACGTGCTAGTGATTGATATCCTCCATGTTTTGATAGACTAGCCTCGCAACAATTGATGATAAGCAGCATGTGATTTTGTTGGATTGTGGTGGAGGTGTGGTGTTTATGCTGAACTTCCTTGATTGACTTTACTAAATAGGGCTACAGATTTGTTGTGGAAGAAGACTTGGACTTGTACATAATATAAGTTTCTCTTAAGATCTCTTAAGTGTGTCTTAAGCAGAGCGATTGCTGTTCTAGAATCAGAATCAAGGTTCCAGATTTGTATGAACGTTTCCAAAATCCCAAAGAAGCGTTGTTTGCCTGCAGATGAGGTCCTGCTGATGCAACAAAGACAGATGCAGGCCCACGTTGGCACAAGTCTATTGTATCATTTGCAGTCTCGAGATCGTTTGCAGTTGAAGTGGCCCTTCTCCTACAGTAGGACATGGTGGTTCCATGAAATAGCTCCTTTGATGCGAGCGTATGGCTGCACTTTGGCATTCTCGTCAGTGGCGACACCTTGCCAGATGGTACGAGTATGGGTCAACATGACAGTGTAGACTTTAAGCCTTTAAGCCGAGCGGAATCGTGTTTAGGTCCGGAGAAGAGTGCTGCAAATCCAGAGGGTGTCGGACTTAGATTTTTGGTGCCTATGCATCATCATGTTGCATTTGATTCGGTCGATTCTACTCTGGAAGAAGCGCATGGCATGGCTTTTGGATTTGGCCCAGCTACTTTGGGATTGAAACGAGGTTTTGCTGACGCCAAAATGAACACAGGCTGGCTGATTCTAGGGTTTGGATGGGTTTGGATTTGACTACTCGTGAAGTATGGTTTTAGACAAAAGTTGTTTCAATGTATGCTAGGTGCATTAGATGTATTTTCATGTCGGGTGAATCTATGCGTGAGCTAGTAGTGAAACCGATTCACGATGCTTCTGATTGATCGATGCTTTTCATGGATCGTCCCTTTCAAACAGCAGAGCCTGTCCTTTTGAATCCAGCCGTTGAACCACACGAAGGTCCAGTGGAGACCAGCGCTGACGCAAAGCCAGAGGGTATTGGGCTTGGGTTGGAGTTTGTATTGTTTCACTGGTTGGTGTTTGTATTGTTTCGCCAGTCGTAGAAAGAGTACTATTTTTACTTATCTTTAGTCTATGCACAGGTTTGTCCATGTGTTGTTTGTATGTAGGAGGTCAATAGAGAGGACCAACATTCCGGATTTTTATTGGTACGTGCTAGTGATTGACATCCTCCATGTTTTGATCAGACTAGCCTCGCAACAACTGATGATAAGCAGCATGTCATTTTGTTGGATTGTGGTGGAGGTGTGGTGTTTATGCTGAACTTCCTTGATTGACTTCACTAGATAGGGCTACAGATTTGTTGTGGAAGAAGACTTGGACTTGTACATAATATAAGTTTCTCTTAAGATCTCTTAAGTGTGTCTTAAGCAGAGCGATTGCTGTTCTAGAATCAGAATCAAGGTTCCAGATTTGTATGAACGTTTCCAAAATCCCAAAGAAGCGTTGTTTGCCTCCATTTGAGGTCCTGCTGATGCAACAAAGACAGATGCAGGCCCACGTTGGCACAAGATGGCACAAGTCTATTGTAGCATTTGCAGTCTCGAGATCGTTTGCACTGCAAGTGGCCCTTCTCCTACAGTGGGACATGTTGGTTTCATGAAATAGCTCCTTTGATGCGAGCGTATGGCTGCACTTTGGCATTCTCGTCAGTGGCGACACCTTGCCAGATGGTACGAGTATGGGTCAACATGACAGTGTAGACTTTAAGCCTTTAAGCCATTAATTGAGCGGAATCGTGTTTAGGTCCGGAGAAGGGTGCTGCAAATCCAGAGGGTGTCGGACTTAGATTTTTGGTGCCTATGCATCATCATGTTGCATTTGATTCTGTCGATTCTACTCTGGAAGAAGCGCATGAAATGGCTTTTGGATTTAGCCCAGCTACTTTGTGATTGAAATGAGGTTCTGCTGACGCCAACATGGACACAGGCTGGCTGATTTTAGGGTTTGGATTTCACTACTCATGAAGTATGGTTTGATAGAAAAGTTTGTTCTTGTATGCCAGATGTGTTGTCATTTCAGGTGAACTGATTCAACGTGAATGAACTCATGATATGCTGGTTGAAACATACACTGATTACCTTTGAGTATTTGCGCACCTTGCACGCTTGGCTCCGTAATTGTCATGATGCTTCTGATTGATTGATGCTTTTCATTGATTGTCCTTTTCAAACAGTGTCAGAGCATATCCTTTTGAATCCAACGGTTGACTGAACCACACGAAGGTCCAGTGGAGACCAGCGCTGAAGCAAAGCCAGAGGGTATTGGGCTTGGGTTGGAGTTTGTATTGTTTCACCAGTTGGAGTTTGTATTGTTTCGCCAGTTGTAGAAAGAGTACTATCTTTATTTATCTTTATTCTATGCAGATGTTTCCAGGTGTTTTTGTATGTGGAAGGTCAATATAGAGAGGACCAACATTGCATATTTTTTGATTGGTATGTGAGTGCAAGTGATTGAACATCCTCGATGTCTTGATCAGACTAGCCTCGCAACAATTCATGATAAGCAGCATGTGATTTTGGTGGAGGTGGTGGTGTTTATGCTGAACTTCCTTGATTGACTTCACTAAAATAGGGCTACAGATTTGTTGTGGAAGAAGACTTGGACTTGTACATAATATAAGTTTCTCTTAAGATCTCTTAAGTGTGTCTTAAGCAGAGCGATTGCTGTTCTAGAATCAGAATCAAGGTTTCAGATTTGCATGAACGTTTCCAAAATCCCAAAGAAGTGTTGTGTGCCTGCAGATGAGGTCCTGCTGATGCAACAAAGACAAATGCAGGCCCACGTTGGCACAAGATGGCACAAGTCTATTGTAGCATTTGCAGTCTCAAGATCGTTTGCACTGCAAGTGGCCCTTCTCCTACAGTGGGACATGTTGGTTCCATGAAATAGCTCCTTTGATGCGAGCGTATGGCTGCACTTTGGCATTCTCGTCAGTGGCGACACCTTGCCAGATGGTACGAGGTCAACATGACAGTGTAGACTTTAAGCCTTTAAGCCGAGCGGAATCGTGTTTAGGTCCGGAGAAGAGTGCTGCAAATCCAGAGGGTGTCGGACTTAGATTTTTGGTGCCTATGCATCATCATGTTGCATTTGATGCTGTCGATTCTACTCTGGAAGAAGGGCATGGCATGGCTTTTGGATTTGGCCCAGCTACTTTGTGATTGAAACGAGGTTTTGCTGACGCCAAAATGAACACAGGCTGGCTGATTCTTGGGTTTGTGACTACTCGTGAAGTATGGCTTTGGACAAGAGTTGTTCGAATGCATGCTAGATTTGGTTGTCCTGTCAGGTGAATTCATTCAACAAGAACCAATAACATCCTGGTTAAAACAAGCTTTGAGTACAATTGAGTGTAGTTAAACCGATTCACAATGCTTCTGATTGATCGATGCTGTTCATCGATCGTCCCTTTCAAACAGCAGAGCACGTCCTTTTGAACCCAACCGTTGAACCACATGAAGGTCCAGTGCAGACCAGCGCTGATGCAAAGCCAGAGGGTATCGGGCTTGGGTCGGAGTTTGTAATTCTGCATCAGTGGTATAGAAAGACTTCGATCTTGGAAAACTAGGATGTCGGAGTGTGACGTGGCTTTCGAGATATTGACTGCACATCTCTGAATGCTGAATACCCTTAAATGCGTCGTTCATGACCGCAGATTTGTTGTTTCTCTTAAGTGTTTAAGCTTGCTGGGGGAAGTCTGTTCCAGAGGTCAAGCTTGCAGATTTGTATGCTGGGTTCCTAACTTCCAAATAAGTTTGCTTCTGGACGAGGTTCTGATGCAACGAGCACAAATGCAGGCCTGCTTGGCATGAGTTTGCAGTAGCACTTGTTGTGTTGAAGGTGATTTGCTTTGTCTTGAGGTGTTGCGAAGTCAGCGCGTCAGTGATCCTGGCTGTTTTCACCGGCTGTTTTCATGAGCCGCTCAAAGGCCCTGCTGGACCCACACATGGAACGGACTTCGTCCACCCGGGTCGGCGGGTGCCATGACGGACTCGCCTCGCCTGAACACCGAAGCGAGCAGGTGCCACGCCTGACGGAGGTCCCGAGACGAGCACTGATGCACCGCAGGGTGTGGGCCTCAGTGGCGCGCGCGTGGCGTGGCGCGTGGGAGCACAAGGCCCGCGCGGTCTTGGCGCGCTGGGCTTGCAGGGCATTTTGCAGCATGCCCTTCCGAGACTGGGACTGGTTGAAGTTTGGAAGCAAGTGGAAGCAGCTCTTTTCCAATGTTGCCACAAACTCCTGAAGACATTGTTTGATGCGGATGAGGTTCTGCCGAGGCAGCCAACACGGATTCAGGCCCAACTTGGGCAGCGTTTGATGCGTGGCCGACTCCGGGGTAATTATTTCAGTTGATTTGTTGAGTGGGAAGGGTTCGGAGATGACTTTTGCAGTGCTACATGATGCTAGACGTGTCGGGAACAATTTGATCTATGAAGTGTCGGCATATGATTATAGTACATTATAATCATGTGATTTGTCGGCACTATCATAAGTCATTACATTACGTATTTCAATGACTATCATGATAGTGCCTTCAATGATCACCACGGGACGATTTCAACATCGGTGCACGATGCTGAACACAGACCAATCCATTTTTGTCCAAGCTCTGCAGCTTGAAGACTTCTTTGCGCGTGCGAAACAGCAGACTGCATGAACAATTCAGACACCTGGGTCAGAGGGTTCAGAGGGCTTTGGTTTGAGGTGTAGACTATTACATAGACATATAGACACCCCAAATAGCTGCAACCACATGCTGATGCCTTTTTTTAGATGGAAGATGACGGAAGGTTTGCCCGTTGGCGGCCCAGAGGGTGATGAAAATTTGTATCTTGATTTAGGAGAAAGCTGCCAGGTGGCTTTGGTACGTGTTGAAGGTCAAAAGAGAAAAGCTATACAAAGCTAGGATATAGAGATTTATTTAATGGACACCCGTTTCTTTGGTCAACTACCCTACCAACTCTGTGTTTTCACTATATACCAGGGGACCCACAAACCAGCCAAAAAAAACATGGTGTCCCTAGCAATTTAACATGGTTTTTGTGTGTGACAACCTTTATTTGCCATGGGAAACCTTTCGGGTCACTGGTAGAGGGTGACACTATGACCCTATGACTGGTGACGGGGTGTCCACTCAGTCAACCAGGTGAGAATGGAGCCAAAGGCATGGAGGACACCGGCAGAGCTGACTGGCCAGTCAGGATGGATGCGCAATTAATAGCCTAGCACCCCCAAAACAGGATAAATCAGGCCAAATAAGCTTTGGCAGCCACTGGTTTCTAGCAGACTTTGCCCTACCAGTTCTTAGAACGAGTTTGTGTGCATGCACACGCACACATAACTAAGCACGTTGATGTTGTTCCACCATGGCCTCGTTGAGTCCAGTCCAGCTGGATGAACGGACTGAACTATTTTTCGTTGAGCCTGTCTGACCTGGTCTGAGCCGAACTGGTCTCTTCACAATCACTATAGGAATTGGAACAAGGCCTGCAACTGAACCTGCATTGGGCTTCTGAGGCTAGTACGCGTAAGCTGACTAGTCGGCCTCAGCCATCAATCGTGGCTGACCAAGATGGACAGCGGAAAAAAATCCACTCTTGCAGGTGATAGACCCAATATGAACCACTGCCCCTGCGGCGTCATGTTTGCCAGTTCCACACTGCACAGCCTCGCGCCATCAAAAGAAAGACGCATGTGCCGCACGACGATTAAACTACACATCCACCGGGGCCCCAAACCCAATGGCAGAGTGGGGCATAGATCAGCAAAGACCACAAGGCCAACATGATGGAATATGCGCTGAAGCGCATGCGCTCAACCAAGGAGCCCGAGATGATGGGCTGAAGCGATGATGGCAAAGGTCATCTGGAAAGCTGCAAAACAAAACACTGTACAATCATAGATCAACGCATCGGAGCTTTCTTTGAACCTCAACTCTATAGCTCTATAGACCCTTATAATACTATTCTCTTTGGTCCTCCCCAAAAATTCGACGACTCGGGACCACCCGGGATGCACCGCCGGGACCGGGGACGAGGACTCATCGCAGGACTCGGGCGAGATCGCGGAGTTGGACTTGGAGTCCTCGGGCGAAGGCGACTCTGGATATTATTTCGAGTATACCTAGCACTTCCAAGGAGTTGCCAAGGAACACCTATATGATCCTATATGTATGGTAGGTGGTCCATTGGTGACCCGTTGGAAGCAGCTGGTATGTATCTCGATATATGTGTACACCTCGTGTCTTTAGCTTTCGAAGGGGATTTCTCGAATAGCACTTCGAGAGCAACTTTGGCTGTTTCCGGATGCTGAAGGGGAAGATGTTTCACTTACCTCTAAGTTTCCAACCATATCCTCAGGTTCAGTGGTTAGACCCCACTGGTGCCCACCCCAGTCCCACCAAACCTGAGGATGTTTTTTTACATGTTACACGGTAGCACCAAAATGTTTGATCCAAGGTACCTGGGTCATCGTGTTTGGGTGTGCCATAGACCACCCAGCCCACTGCGAGCGACTGGAGCTTCAGGACACGCAGACAGGATGATCCAACTAAGGTAGTAGTCCTCTTGGACTTAGATTTACAATCTTTACCCTGGTGTTTTTTTAGAACCTTAAGGGACCCGAGAAGGGGGTGGAGAGCTGAAATCGAGGAGATGTTCGATACCTAAAACTGCACCCCCCCCGGTGAACCTAAATATTGATCATTACCCAGACGCGACCGCCATCTGGGACTGCCACCTATGCCTTCAAAACGGACAGGGGTGGTGCCAGGAGGCCTTTTCTGGGGCAGCATAGATGGCAGTCCCAGATGGCGGTCGCGTCTGGCTTTGGAAGTCTTTTGGGTCTTGCTAGCTGGATAGCAGGGTGTTTTGTACTTTGATGTTTGGGTCCAGCGCTGTCAGGCTGCTTTCGTTCTCCCGATTCCAATTTGAATGTGTGGCAAGGCACCTGGATATGTTTGGATGATCGTGACCCAAACAGCAAGGCTCCTGGCCCAACTCATGTTCGTCAGAACCCCCATGGCCCCTCCGTGGCGGTCCACGCGAGGCGAAGCCTTGGCATCCCCCGAGTTTGTCGCCAGCCAGGCTTCTGCGATGCAAGGCCTGGGGATGCAAGGCGTTGGGTGTGGTTTTTGTTCCAACCCCCAGACCATGCAAGAGACTGGAACAGATATTTATATACCGTATATATCTGTATATCAATATAAATATATATATATATATGCTAGCCCCCCCGAAAACCGATGTTTCTGAGTGCTGGTGTGCAGTTGGTAAGCATATTTGTTCATTTAACTATGTACTACAAAAATGTCCAAATCCATAAGGTTATGTGTTTACTAAACAGTTCTTGGATGGAGTAATCTGATTCATTGCAACCCCCATGCAAAACCATATGTATTGTTTTTAGGGTGTGAATTGTACTGCTCTTATTGAATGCAGCTGAGCAAGTACATCATAATCAGAAGTCAAAGAATTGCAAACCCTAAAAGACTAAATTACTAAATTCAAGTTTAATTAGAATTAAAATTAAGTTCCAATCTATTCAACTCTACTCTACTTTGTATATTCAAATTCAAATTTGAGTCTATTTCAATTATTTGTAAATTCTATGTGGATTCAAATGTCTATCACTATAGATTCTAATTTACTTGGGATTCAATGCAAGCCTAATTTTAATTTGATTTGCAGCTAATTCTAACTTCATTGCTATACAAGTCAGATTCAATTCTAATAGTGTATTATTTTTCAATTTAGTTTTAATTTGAGTGAAATTCTCATTTACTTCTAGAGAAGTGGTGTTACTTTGAACATGAGAAATTTTATGTAGTGTTTCCAATATACCAGCATGTGCTTTCTTAAGTCAATTCAATTCACCACCAGCAACACCCACTCTCTAGAATGACACCAAAACTGAATTAGAATTCCATGTGCATTGAACTAGAATCAAAATAGGATGAAATTAGACATATAGAAACCAAACCTAATTTGCAATGACAATAGTGTAAAGTTAGATGTGTAAAACAATTGAATCTGAACCGTATAAAGGCATTAACATTAGAAATTAATTACTAGTAAATTGGAAGAGTCAAAGTTACAATTGAACCCAAAATAGAATGAAATAGAACTAAATTGGAAGTAGACTGAAATTAAATTAGAGTTGAATAAAAAACATTGAATACGAATCCATTACTTAAATTGAAATTGACTTAGAACTACGGTAGAATTGAATTAGAGTTGTTTTACCTAGAGCTTGGTTAGTAGAACAGTATTGACTTAGACTTAAATTGGAATCTAAGTTCAATTAGAATTGAACTAGATCTAATTTGCAATCTCATTTTGATTTCAATTATATAAAGTTCAATTAGGATCATTTTCTATTTAAATTAGAAGCACGTTGCAGATTCAAATTTAGATTCAAGTTTGGATTCCATTAGATCTAACATAGCCAAACATAATTAGAATTAAAATAGAAATGAGTAAATTAGAATAAACCTGAATTCGAATTTGTCTATACAATGAAGTTAAAGCTAAATAGGATTAAACTAGAATTCAATTAGGTTCAACTTAGGCTTAAAGTAGAACTATGTTACATACTCAAATTAGAATCCATTTAAGGTTCAATTAGACTTCAATTAGACTCAATCAAAATGTGCTTAGTGCAATTTTGTCACTACCAGAGAATGCCAGAGAATGCATTCCTTCCCAAAACCAAGATCCAAGATCCAAGATTTGCACAGAAGTCTTGTGGAAAATCTTGGTTTTGGGATTTGCCAGAACCTCCTTATCACTGTATCAATCCAAGATTTTAGCCAGGAATCTTGGATCTTGGATCTTCCTCACCAAAACCAAGATCCAAGATCCAAGATTTGCACAGAAGTCTTGTGGAAAATCTTGGATTTGGGATTTGCCAGAACATCCTTATCACTGTTTCAATCCAAGATTTTAGCCAGGAGTCTTGTGGGAATCTTGGATCTTGGATCTTGGTTTTGAGCAAGAATGCATTCTGAATGCAATGAATGCATTCTGAATGCATTCCTTCCAAAGTTAATTCACATGCCGGAATTTAGAATCTCTGGACCAACAAGTTATATATATATATATGGTACCCAAAAAAACCAAGGTCCAAAAGGCCTCCAAGAATAGACACGAAATATACCAGCAAAAGTGAGGTGAACATAGTTCTTCTTTGGGGGGGTACCATATATATATAGAGAGAGAGAGTGATACATGCATGTTAATGTAACTCTTCTCCTATATGGATGGGTTTTGGGATAGCAGTTTGATCAGCATGGAGCATGGTATGAGCATGGTATGGTGAATGAAGTTGAAGGATCTCGCTTCAACCCCCCAAACCTTGCAAAGTTGTGCTACTTTTGGATGTCAGAGGGTTCCAGTCTCCGCCCCATGAATATGGACGAACATACTTTTGACCGCTTGTGCCTTGTTTTGAACAAACAGAGGATACGGGTGAAACACCGAATACAAAAATCGTACAATAGATGACCAACACCAGCCCTATTCAAGCTCTTGGAAGGCCAAAAAGGGGTATGCTTGGAGCCACGTCTCTTTGGTTCAGTGATGGCTTACCACGAGATGCCTTGACATGTGCACAATTCATGTTTGCCACGTCGAGAGCCATGGAGATGTTTTCGTCGTGCACACCTCGTGCCGAACCTTTGCGGTGGCTCGGTGTTTGAAGGGAAGGAATTCAAACGAATAGGACCAAAATTGTAACTCTGAAAAACTCTTCAAGTGCTGGATGGAAAGAATTGAAGGACATATACATGAAAGTGGAGCATGAATCATTGCCAACGAGACTACTTCACCCAAGAACCGTGCTACAAAACTTAAGGACTGAATACACCCCTTCAAAGGTTCATTAAATGATGTAGCCCGACAAGACATGAACATACATGAACAACATATGTAGTATCCTGTTAGTCTTTTCAGGACCCGGCCCCATGTCCAGCACCCCAAACGAGAGATGCGCCTCACACTGGATCGCCACCCCCCCCACCAGGTGCCGAAGCCATGGTCCTTCTCTTGAGTAGCCGGGGTGCCTTGCTTCGTTGCTTCGCGGCTGGTTCGCACCGGCCAACCCGGCGTGTTTTGTTGTCTTTTCGAAGAGGGACGGTGGATGAATGGTTGAAGGGCTCCAAAACACCGTTGGGATCCGTTGTGATCCCCATCTTTTCAGCTGTTCCAATCCGGTGTTTGATGCAGTCAAGGGCCCAAGGGCATGACCGCTGGAAAGGGCGAATGAGTTTGCTGACCAGTGTTTGCACATGTGCTTTTGCGAGCTCTCTCTCTCTCTCTATAAGTGTGTGTGTGTTTCTTTTTTTGCCGACGCCGGACCCCAAGATTGACATTGACCCAACAAAAATGGATGAACTTCAGAAATTCCAAAAAGCATGCAGAAGCGGCATGCCAACACTCTTCATGTTTTGCCAAATGATCAAGTGCATCAGAAAAGAGTCAAGACTGGCTTTCAGACCATCAAAAATGAAGTGTTGCACCAGGTCCAAAACCCACCATGTCCAACATGTGGTTGTTTCTCCCGCCCGGATGGAATCCGACCAACAAACCATCCAAATCCATCCAAATCCGCCTGGATGTCCGGACCCAAATCCATCCCCCCAAACCCTCCCTCCCCACTCCGGTGCTTCCACCGCCCCTTCGGTGCCGCCTTGCTCACCACCGAGGCGCCGGCAGCTTCGGGCGCTTGGGCGATGTGAAGACGCCGCCGGAGGAGGCGAGGAACGTCAGACGAAGACGCTCTCCCCAGACACGCTTACGGGATGACGTCTACTTAAAGGTCCACCGTGGGATGACGTAAACACTTAGCATACATACTAAACATATACAACACAATACGAATGGGATGACGTGATTGGGATTGGCATGTCATCCCTTTGGCATTGAAACAGCGACGAGATGACGTCTTGTCAGGTTCCTGTATGGGAAGTCCATTGGGGGGAGTCTCTGAACAGAGAGAGAGATTGATAGTGTACAAAGTCATTGGTCATCGGTGGAGAAACTGGTTTGATGGGAACATCATATAGTTGAACACCCTGGATTGTTCCCCAGATAGCGAAGCTATCGGGGTTCTTACTTCTCAATGGATGGGTTCCTGATTGCGGAAATTGGTTGCCGCCGCCTTGTTTCCCAAGCTTGTCTCCCTTCATGATTTTTTCTTTTGGCTGCCGCTGCCGCCTTGTCTCGCAAGCTTGTCTCCCTTCATGATTTCGCTTTTGGCTGCCGCTGCCGTCTTGTCTGTGAAGCTTGTCTCCCTTCATGATTTCGCTTTTGGCTGCCGCTGCCGCTTGTCTCCCAAGCTTGTTTCCCTTCGTGATTTCGCTCTTGGCTGCCGCTGCCGCCTTGTCTGTTCAGCTTGTCTCCCTTCATGATTTCCCTTTTGGCTGCCGCTGCCGCCTTGACTCCTAAGCTTGTCTCCCTTCATGATTTCGGCTTTGGCTGCCGCTGCCGCCTTGTCTCCCAAGCTTGTCTCTCTTCATGATTTTTTCTTTTGGCTGCCTTTGCCGGCTTGCCTTCCAAGCTTGTCTCCCTTCATGATTTCGCTCTTGGCTGCCGCTGCCGCCTGGTCTCCCAAGCCTGTCTCCCTTCTTGATTTTGCTCTTGGCTGCTGCTGCCGCCGTGGTTCCCAAGCTTGTCTCTGTTCCTGATTTCTTTCTTGGCTGCCGCTGCCGCCTTGTCATTTTCTTGCCTGCCTTTGACGCGGATGCTGTTATAAGATGATTTAGGTCTTGTTTACCGTTTCCATCTTTTCCCGGCTTTGAGTGGGATGTCTCCCGCTCTTGCCATGCCATCCTTTTCTTGAAGCGCTATTTGGGTTCTATGCCGGCATAATTTTGTTTAATTGTAAAAGAATAATCAGCGATTGAACGTGATAGTCCTTTCTATTCGGATTCCATGAGGTGAACTTATATATGTTTGATCACCAGCTGGGACTTCTGCGCTGACCGCGCTGAGAGGTGCCTTTGTGGGAGATGCCCGAACTGATTTGCTCCACACTCCTGCTGGGCCTCGCGCCCTTGGCGGACCACGAGGCTGGGCGAGGAATTGGGGTGTGTACTATAATTACTTGTCTATATTTTGCCTCAGTGAAGTAAAGGATTTCCGAACTCAGGTCCCGTTCGTCAGACTGTTCTTTTTATAGTCTTTGACTCCCAGTGTGTGTGCGATAATGACTATGAACTGTATTTCAAGGCTAGACAACAAGCAATCAGTTCAAATACAAGTCCCTATAGTGGTTGAGCCATGACAAGAAAAAGACTTCAGCGCTCCAGCCGAGTGGTGAAATCCCGGTTTTTTGAAGCCATGCCTGAGACAACAGGCGAAGCAGCAGATCATGGAGAGAAAACCTTGGAACGAGCTCGCTCGCAGCAGTTGTAGAGATCAAACCAAACAAGGTGATATGCTCCAACAAAGATGCGATCGCCAATCTTGTTGTCGCTTGTGGTCGAGATTCCAAGCGATGAAACACAAATTCCTGAACGCCGCACATTAGCCCAGCCGATAATCCCCGACTCAGTGGCCCACATTGGGGAGTTTGCTTTTCAATGAAAGGCACTCTACCCAATGTATGTCACTGAGCTTGGCATGCAAGGCTGCAGCTCTTTGAAGAGCTTGGCCATCCCAAACTCTTTGACACACATTGGTCAGTATGCCTTTGAGGATTGCAAGTTTTTTGGCGAGCTTGACCATCCCAAACTCCGTGACCCACATTACGGGCCTTTCAGGGTTGCAGCTCTTTGGCCAAGTTGACCATCTCTGACTCAGTGACCGACAGTGGGGATTTGGCCTTTGAGGGTTGCAGCTCTTGGGCGGATGCCGCAATGTGGTGGCGGCTGTCATGCCACCAGATGGTGCGGCTAGTTGTTGGTGACAGTTTGACATATGTTTCACTAGAACTACATCTGAAACGCAGGTGACCAAGTGAGAAGTAGTGAGACCTGGGTCATGGGACAAGAAAAGGAAGCCACAAGGAAAGAACTGTGATATAACTGGAGGGTCCTGGTCAGGAATGAAAATGGTGCTTTCAAGATACTTTTGGAGGGTCAATGTAGGTGAATCGTCCAGTCTGATGGATGCTCAGGACTAACAAGACGCTTGACGGAAGAGAGTTACTTTGATCCTTTTACGTGGGTGTTCAACAAAGAAGCTGGAACTGAAAGGTAGGAAAGCCATGGAAGGCCTATCAATGTACCACTGGTTTGCTGAAAGGTGCTCTTTTTGCCATGAGGAGCCCATCCAACGAAACGAGGGAATTGCAGTCCTCCCCTACCTGTTGTGGAAGTATGACCCACATAGGAGTTTCAACTTCATCCTTTTGAGGCAGGGATTCCACCTCCGAACCCATGTACTTTTCTGCAAAAAGGTTGGATCCCTGCTGTGGAAGGAATAGTGGCTTTTACAGGGTTTCGAGGGCACGTGATGTTGAGTTGGCAAACAACCTTCCAGGTCTGGATCGTCCGGAAGGTGAAGCATGTCAACCACTGCAGTACCGAAGGGCCTTTGCTCACCCTCTTGGAGGCCCATTCCACCCATCGGGTCACTGGGGAACTGCTGGCGGCCGCGAGCGCGAGGGAGGGAGGGAGGGAGGGAGGGTCCGGACCTCCTACACCTCCGTTTTCGTACCTCCTCAGGTTCGGTATGACTGGACCCTCCTGGCACCCACCCCAAACCTCGAACCTCAGGTTCGGTACGACTGGACAAACAGGAACAGGAAGGCCCAGGGTGACTTCGATGACCGTCCGTCGATCCCGCGAGTCGATCCCAGGGATTTCCCTTCCATCCTTCCAATCCGGATTCATCTTGAAAAAAAAGTGATTGGGAATCCAGATTGAGATCCCTCTGGAAATCCGGATTCATCGAAGAAGACAGTCCATCCTTCTTGAAAAAAGTTGTTCCAAAAATATCCAAGAAGGATGGATGAAGGGATCCAAAGTCCTTGTCCAATCCAAACATATCCAAGAATACAGGTCAGCCAACTTCCAGAGGGGATGTCCTTCGATGATTTGAGGCCCTAGCCAGGCGTCTAGCCCCAGCAGTCCTTCCATGTGGTTTTCACACTGCGCTCGCTCTAGCCCAGCGGCGCGTGAACCGAACGACGAAACCTGTGGGGCGGTGAGGCGACGTCGACTGAGTCGGTGAGGTGAGTTGGGATGGCATCCCAACCGTCCAACCGCCATGTACCGTACCCACGGTACCCACGGTACCCATGGTACCCGGAGGTCGTCCAAGGATTCGGGGCGTATGAATCACGGTCCGGATCCAAAAAGCACGTTCCCGTTTGGCCTCCAGTCGTATGAGGTTCGGGGTTTGGGGTGGGTGCCAGGAGGCTTCAGTCATACCTTCTGAGGAGGTACGAAAACGGAGGTGTAGGGATCTTAGAAACCATGACCAAAAAACGCGACCCGTCTGGGACTGTCATACCCAAACACATCCAAACACGACTAATGGGACTGGCATAGGACTACCGATCAGGCCAGGGGTGGTTGATTTCAGGGGTCAATGTATGGAGCATATGCCAGTCCCATTAGTCGTGTTTGGGATATGATTCTATGATGCCGAGTCTCGGCCAGGGGCCAGGGGTGGTTTTGGAGGGAGGTTGAATGGGGCGGCATATAGATTCTATATAGTCCCTAGAAGCCCAGTTCGACTATTTTAGGCACCACCCAAGTACCAGCACCACGGAAAGGGTGTCCATTAATAGCCCCTTAGAGGTTAAGGGGTGTCCATTAACCACCCCTGGTAAGGGAAGTTCCTTTTCGGATCACCAAGTCAGACCGTTTTAAGAATCGTCTTGGACTCCGGTAGTCCCATGACGTCGTCTAGGATTCTACCGTACGTCGTGTATGGGAAGGAACCAATTTAAAATGGTTCCAACACCTCTTGCAACCACCCAGACACTCCAAGTTCACAGCCCTATACTACTGGTCCCTCAAAACCTAGGGAGTGGTGAGAAACCCCAGACCCCTTTTCCCAGTTCGGATGAGGGGGGCCTCGCGACGTCCCATTCGACCCGTCCCTGCGGGACCCCAGGTTCAGCTCCCATGGTCCGGCGGGTCGATTGGACGGAGCCAAGGGTCAGGGTCTGGTGACACCCGGAAGGATTCCAGCCCTTTCCAAGCCCTCAAAACCCAGCAAGAAGGGTAGCTGGCAAGGAGTTGGACACGTTCCGAGCACTTTCCTACAGGGATGGTAGGCACAGCTAGCCATGCGTCACCGCGCACTGACAAAAAGAAGTTCAACAGTAGGCGGCAGTAGGCAAGCAAATTTTGCAGTAGCACAGATCAGTTGAAATCCAATGGCGATCAGACTTGCAGCGCAGCAGGTCAATGGTGATTTGCGTATTTTGGATGTCACGCCTGAGGTGACAGGCAGAGAGCTAAAGCAACAGATCAAAGAAGGGCAGCCCTGGGACAAGTTCACTTGCAGCACTACTGTGGTGGAGGTTGTTGTTGGAGACAGGCTGCTGGGCAATCAAGAGAAGATGGCAGACGTGGAGCTTGCGGCAGATGCTGTTGTGACCATCGTCTTCAGAGAAAACAGAGTGAGATGTTCAAACAAGGATGAGCTCGCCGACTTTGGGAACGATATTGACACAGAACTCTTACTCATGGCTGAAATCCCATGCCACGGAACTCAAATCTCATCCAGGGCCTTTGAACATTGCAAGCAGTTGGCCAAAGTGACCATCGCAGACTCAGTCACCCACATTGGGAACCATGCCTTTAAGGGTTGCGTATCTTTGGTGAGCTTGACCATCCCACACTCGGTGACACACATTGGGCATAGCGCTTTTCAGGACTGCAGCTCTCTGGCAAACCTGACCATGCCAGACTCAGTGACGCAAATAGGGGATTGTGCCTTTTATGGTTGCAGCTCTCTGGCGAGCTTGACCATCCCAAACTCAGTGACCCACATTGGGGATTGGGCCTTTCACAGTTGCAGGTCTTTGGCGAGCTTGACCATCGCCAACTCTGTGACGCACATTGGGAATTGGGCCTTTACGGGTTGCAGCTCTTTGGTAAACTTGACTATCCCAAACTCAGTGACGCACATTGGGAATGATGCTTATGCGGGTTGCAGTTCTTTAGCGAGCTTGACCATCTCAAACTCTGTGACCCACATTGGGGCTTGTGCCTTTGATAATTGCCGCTCTTTGTGTAATTTGGACATCCCCAACTCTGTGACGCACATTGGGGATGGTGCCTTTCACAGTTGCAAATTCTTGGTGAACGTGACCATCCCAGACTCAGTGACCCACATTGGGAAATGGGCCTTTTGGCGCTGCAAGTCGTTGGCGACCTTGACCATCCCGAACTCAGTAACCCACATTGGGGATTATGCCTTTGAGGGTTGCAGGTCTTTGAGTGTGTTAAATAACTCAAAACTGCCTGACCCAACAGCCCGCAGTGGCAAAGATGCCTGTGCAGACCGCAGTTCGTTTGCGCACGACACAGCCAAATCAATATCTCAAGAGCATGCGTCTCACGGTTGCCAGAGTTGCAACATCTTGTAAGATGGTTCATTCTGCCAAGGGCACAGCTTGGAAATGGCTGTCTCCGCAGTCGAACCCCCGAAAAAAGCAGCGCGGCTTAATTCGTCCTGGGATGGAAGGGAAATTACCCAGGCGGGGGCAGGGGCCCCTCCCTCCCGACTGTTCGTCAAGGAATGTGTGACCCGCCACATTAGAACTGAAGAGACATCGGAACTGAAGAGTCTTCGTTCCTGGTTGGAGTGATGTTCGATTCGCCGGCATCCCCGAGACGCACCAGGGTTTTGACGATGCTTGAGATCGAAGGATATTTTAGACAGCATCCGGACACTCCATGGGACTGCGATGTTTTTTTCCTACATCGATGGGTGCTCTGAAATCTTGGGGTAAATGTAAGTCATGTACAATGTATTATACTGCATTATCACTTATAACTACCTGGCACTTCCTGTCCGGGTGCCCTGGAGGTCTGGAGACCTGTTTACATAGGGAGTCGGGTAGTGGAGTTTTTTTCGCCAGGACACCCTGGATGACCCGGATGACCCCTAGGTATGATTCCACCATGGATGGTCTGGGCCTGGGCCAGGTTTTCTTGGTCTTCTCGCTACTCGATTTGATCTCGGCCGCGCAGCGACCGGCCGCGACCGCACCAGGAGCGACCGGAGGCGGCCGCCTACGACGTGGTGTCCATGGATATCTCACGCCATGTGGATGATAGGCAGGAGATGTTTTTTCTTTTTCGGAACACAGGGAGAACACCGGGGATCTGCTATCAGATCCTATTCCATTATGTATTTTTTACACAGCGGCCACAGAAAGCACCACAATGTCGGTGAATGTGCCACACATGACCAGACATTCATACAGGGAATGGTTGGCAATGAATGACATTCCTTGGCATGAGCTTTGTCGAACTGTTCCAGAAGAGGGAGGTTGTTTCCAGGACCACCGGAAGACAACAGATTGGGAGGGATGAAGCCTGTTCAGGACCAGACTTGCCTAAATACCCGAACACTATACCCCGCCACTTTAGAATCTTATATAACTTGGACCCTCCAACAGGTGTTTCCTGTGTTTCCAAGTCTGGTGCCCAGGTTCACCGCTTGTGGAAATCCCAAGAGTCACCTCCCTCCCGTTCCGCACGTGCGCCGCGCGGCCCCAGGCGCTTCGCGATCGACGTGCTCCGGCGCGACGCCGGCAAGTGGACCGCCGCCTTCAGGCGACGCGGGCGAACGCAGGGAGAAGAGGAGATTGCTGTGACAGGTCCTGACCGACCTCATTTGAACTGGATAGTTCCCGTATACAAAGTCTTATATGTTTTTACCCTAAGAATCGCTCTCCATGGCAGGGGTCGGACCTTCTCCACCGAAACGCGTTCCGGGGGAAACGGGCCCGAACCAGGGCCCCTATCTGTTGGTGAAGGAGCCCGGATTCTTAGGGTAATATAATAGTCAGTATACAGACACTCCATGGGACTGCCATATATGCCGCCCCATTGACCCCCCTGGCACCACCCCAATGTAGGCATATATGGCAGTCTCATGGAGTGTCTGGGGTATACAGATGTATACAGTATACATTGTACACTAACACCAGGACAACCGGAGTTGGTCCCCAAAACCAGCACTCAATGTATATATCCCAGATCTGGCTCAGTGGTACCCAACCCGAAGGGCCCGAACTCGTCCGGGTGAAAGCCTCCAACGTGAGTCCTGGACCGAACACTGATGTCAGTTCGTTCGGGGCCGAACCGATCGCCTCTATACCGACACCCATATCACTCCATGGGACTGGAATAAATGCCTCCATTGAACCCCACCACCCCTGGCCGTTTTGAAGGCATATACACCCTAGACTTCCAAGACTATGGTTCACCTGGTTTTTGTAGTGTCAAATCCTTAATTCGGGAAGCCTATGAAATTCATGGTGGGCCAGGAAGCCTAGGGTACATGGAGCACCATGGCTAGGACTCCACGTTTTGAGCGAGACTGGCGTCCGACCACTCGGGACGAATCCGACCGCTCGGCGTCGTCCTCGCCGTGGTCGTTCTTCCTTCGGCGGCTTCGCGCGAAGCGGCGGTTGGCCGGTGGGGTGGATGAATCGACCCTGTTAGAGCCTGGCGTCCGGACGACGGAAGTGACCGTTGACACAGACTGAGCGTTTCGTGTTGACTGGGCGAAATCTTTGGGACAAGTGATCCCTGAAACATCCTGAAAACATTTTTTCTTTGGAACCAAAGGCCTGAAAAGGAATGGGTTGGCACATGTTGGCACAGGTGCTCAGGACTCTCAGGACCGACTCTGCCCACTTCTCTCGCTTGATCCCTCGGACGACCGAAGTCGGTCTGGGCCGAAGAGTCGCTCCGACCGAGTCGATGCGTCCGTTTTCGGGCACGGTCCCAGCCGCGTTGGGCCGACAGCATTGCCAATGCAGAAGAAGTCCAGTGGCGTCCAGAGCAGCTCGTGGTTCGCCCTGTATCGCAACTGCTGAGGCACCGTCAGCCAACAACAAACAAAAATATAGTCCTTGTACCTAGCCCTTCGTTAACGAGGGCCATAACGAGGTCTGGAGACCTGTAACTAGGGTAGGGTATAGTCGAACGCCAGGACACCCCGGTCCAGAATGATCCTGGTCATGTGAAAACCTCTACAGTTTGGAAACCGAGGACCGCCGGTAGGGCACGGTCCGCTGAAGTCACCACGTGAGGCAGTTGTGTGAAGAAGCGGAGCCCGTGAAGCCCATCGGGGTGGCTCACGCGCCCCTCATAGGTCTTGGAGCCCCAGTTGTCTCAGGCTTTGGTCTCATGTTTCTATCCTCGTCCTTCAGGGTGAGGTGCAGGGGCCTCAGGGACACCGCAGCTCCCCGTGATGCCTAGTGGTTTTGGTCGAAAGCAGGTGCCCTTAGATGATTTTGCAGGAAGACTTCTGTAGATGCACCGGTCACGCCGAAATTGGGGTGGTTTGGGGAGTTAAATTTAGGCATATAGCTGGATCTTCCGACTGTGCCAAATGTTTGCCTGTTCATCCATAAAACCAGCCAAAAGGCATACATTTTGCATTAATGGTTGGTATGACATGGTATGACATGGTATGACATATGTTTGGGATGGAGTCCGAGCAGTTGAGCCTCCTTCCGCTGAAGTGCTCACTGACCATGGTGGATGATGGTGGATGGGGTGAACCATTCCAAGAGCTTGAAGCAATTCAAGACTCAAGACATTAAATGAGTTCCATATGGTCGAAGCCGCCACAAGGCTCAACCGTGCTCAACCTTCCACCGAAGAAACATATGCTTGAACGAGCGAACCTCAGGCCAGGGTCAGATCATTGGAGCACCAAACACGACGTATACGTCAGTGCCTCACGGATTGGTGGTAGCGACAACCTCATGGAAAAAAAACACATTGTCTTGGGGTGATTGCTATGCCAACTTTGCTATAGCAACCTCAAATTGAAACACACATCATATGAATCATATTAATATGGACATCAAAAACACCGAAATGTCAACTTCAAGAAGAAAGACTCCATGATCCTCGATCACTGCCTCATTGCGGCTCCTTTAATTAAGGCTGTATTGGCTCCTTTCCGGACTGGGGACAATTCCCGCTTTCCTTTCCTCCCCACAACAAAGCGCTCGAAAGATCGATCGGCCAAGGCATTGGCCTCCGCGTGTCATCAAACGCGCCGGCGGGACGGTGCGCGCAAGCGCCGGCGCTAAACCCCGCGGTCTTGGTGCGCACCGCTCGAGGCGTGGACAAGCATTGGTGCTACGCCATGCAGATCCTCACCTCAGGCGTCTCCGGTCAACCACGGGCGAACGTCTTCGTGCGGCTCGGTGATGAGCACCCAAACGCCCGAGGTATGGCCGTCCGTTACAGCGATGGGGGTTTCCCAGACACGACCAGTCTGGGACTGCCAGTCTGGACTGCCGATCAGTTGGCGTGGTGCCAGGGGGGTCAATGTATAGGTACCGTATATAGCATACATGGAGCGTCTGGATTGGAGGGGTAGTGGAGTGTGTGTTGCTGTTGGAGTGTGTGTTGGTGTCGGACTGCTGGGATGTTGACGCGTAGACGTCTTACTTCCCATCCGTCCCATCGGGGCCGATCCGCATCCGCGGTCGGACCGTCGGTTGCACCGAACGGGACCCGACTCGGGTGGTTCGGTCGGACCGCAGTCGAGTCGGGTCGCGACCAGCACCGAGACATCCCTGGTCACCCACCTGACGTCTCACGTCAGAGTCGTCGACGTCGAGTGGTGTGGATGTGGATGAGGAGGTTCGGAGCCGCCGTTCGGGCCAACTCCGGAACTGGGAGACATGACGGAACTGTTCCGTTCCAGACGGCCGCTGCTGCCAGGTGTTGGTTGAACATGGGTTTCCACGCCTTTTGGATTCCACACATGCGTTGGAACGGGTTCGGCAGCAGGTTGGAATGGGTATTCTATATGGTAGTTTTTGAGATTTCTCGTACATTGCTTTCAGAGACCAGTTGACAGCAGAATGTGAAACGGCCTTTCTTCCAAAAACCTTGGTTTCGACATCCCCAATCCATCTCCAATCCATAATATACCGATCGATCTTCCAACTAATTGGCTACACGCGACCAAAAAGACACAAGAAGTCCGGCCTTTCCCGCTTGGAAGATCACCTTCGCTCCGTCAGCACCCCCAAACCACCCCACAAAACCGACCCGAGAGACACTCCGACCAGGGCCGTTGACGGGACGGCGTCCCCTACGTCCGGAGGCCCGAAGGAAGACATGAACACGATGACCCGGCGCAAACTGGTTTGTTCCCAGAGTCTTAGATGCCTAGTGGAAGATGGAGCCATCAGCTTTCGGCAGCTTTCAGCCGTTTTCAGCTCATGGATGAACATCAGTATATGTAAAAAAGTATAACACATCCAGCTTCGGCGTGTCTCGTCGTCAGTCAATGCAGTTGATTTGACCAGGACCAGGACCTTCCGAACTGTCCGTGTCCGTCCAGTTCGCCTCTTTTTTTAAGAGGTAAGGTGAGGAACGGGGTCTGCAAGAAGCATCGAACTTGGTTTCGGTCCTGGTATGTATTGATGGCATCGACCCTATTCCCGGAAAAAGAGAAACGCATGATTGTTACGGACCTGGACCTGAACCTTTCCGGTGTCCTGGCTGGAGGTCCCTGATCGTGGCGGGCTGGGGCGTTCCAGCCAGGTGACCCCGAGGTCCTGAAGGTGCTGGGAGTGATTGTTGCAGCGAGCCATGGCAATGAGAATTTCCGCGCTGCAGGTTGGCCAGACACTTTGCCTTGAAGTTAGACCAGAGATGACGGGAGCAGAGTTGAAGTGCCAGATCAAAGAAATTTTTCGGACCTGGGACGAGGTCACTCGCAGCACTACTCTGGTGGAGGTTGTTGTTGGAGACAGGCTGGGCAATGACGAGAAGGTTGCAGATGCAGGGCTCTCTGCAGATACTGTTGTCAGTGTCGTGTTCAAAGAAAACTTGGCGAGGTGCTCAAGCAAAGATGCCATCGCCAACTTCAGCACTGAAATTGATTTGTCGCTTTTGCTTGCTGTTGAGATCCCCAGCCATGAAGCCAAAATTGCCATGAGTGCTTTCCAAGACTGCAAAAGGTTAGCCAAATTGACCATCCCAGACTCAGTGACTCACATTGGGCATCACTCCTTTCAGGATTGTAGCTCTTTGGTGAGCTTGACCATACCAAACTCTGTGACCGACATTGGGAATAACATGGAATAACGCCTTTCAGGATTGCAGCTCTTTGGTGAGCTTGACCATTCCAAGCTCGGTGACTCGCATTGGGATGAAGGCCTTTCAGGATTGCAGATCTTTGACGAACCTGAGCATCCCAAACTCGGTGACCCACATTTGGGATTGGGCCTTTCAAGGTTGCAGGGCTTGTGCAAGCTTGACTATCATCCCAGACTCAGTCTCCCACATTCGGGAATTGTGCCTTTACCCAGACACTCCATGTATGCCATATATGCCTATACATTAGGGTGGTTTCAGGGGTCAATGTAGGCATATATGGCATACATGGAGTGTCTGGGTTATGGGTTGCAGCTCTTTGACGAACTTGACCATTCCGGATTCAGTGAGGCACATCGGGCCTTTAAGGATTGCAGCTCTCGAACTCAAACTTGAACATCCCAGAGTCTAATTTGCCCACATGGAGGGTAGTGAGGGTCATCCCTGGACCAAATGACAGAAATGCATAGAACAAGTTCCACTCGCCTGGTGAAGGAACTCAGATGGGTCCCTCGCCTGGCGGTCGGAGCGTCCTCGGAGCATTCTCAAGTTTGGTGGTGTACAGGCTGGCGGGCTTCAACAAGCTGTTGCAAAACTGCACAACTTGTTGCAAGACTTCTTAGGGAAAGCTAGCAACTAGCAAGGACCTAGATCTTCCAACAATGCAACATCATGTGTGCTTTTTAGCTGGTCTCCGGAGGACAAATGATGAAAGGATTAAAGTTTTGCACAGTGGGAGGTTCCAACATCTGGGATAGGGCCTTTGGGAATTGCAGGCAAATCCGACCATCGCAGACTCTGTGATCAATATTGGGAATAGCGCCTTCAGAATTGCAGCTCTCTGGTCCAACTCAGGGACCCACTTTAGGCCCTCTTCCTAGGGCTCCATCTATATATACCTCCTGAGAAGGTATGACTGGATCCTGCTGGCAGCCACCCCAGTTCCACCTTCGAAACGAAGGGTACGACTGGAGCCCTTTGAGACGAATTGACCATCAGCAACCGCTGGGGGCTTCGTCTCCTTTGAAAGGCCAAGAACAATCCTTCCAAAAACACGTTCGGCCGTTGGGTTTGGCTGGTTGGGTGATAGCAAGGAACTCATGCAAAAGCGTGCGCACGTGCGATCTGTATTAGACCAGCCCAAGGGTCTGTGCCTCCACAGGTTCGGGGGTTTTCACCCATACCCTTTCGGTTCGGGTCGCCATGGCAGACTAAGCAGGGCCCCGCCCTGCTCCGGAAGCGTGGTGATGGGTGGCAGACCCTGAAATCAGAGCAAACAGGGGGACGGTGCATGAACATCCTCTTAGCAATTGGGGGGGTGTTGTCCTCAATTCAGCTCGTGCGGTGCCGAACGGAACCAATCCGAGGCTACGTCCTGAGCCAAGAGGGCTACAGCACCGCAGCTCTTGCGAGCCAAGAGCTTTCGCCCGCGCAGGTGAGCTGGGGTAGGGGTAACGAGCAGAGGCGAAGAGAGCGGGGCGAACAGATTAGCACCAAATTAAAGATATTCACAACTGAAGGAGGTGAATATTACTGAGTCAGTTTGATCGTTTAGTGAAGATCAACATTTAAGCCTTTTGAACAGCTTCACTTTTGAACAGCTTCATATGATTTCATGTGTAACAATTTGTGTTTTTCTCCTGAGTCAAAAACTGGCGTTCGCGCCACCATTGGTTCATGCAATATGTTTTCATGCGGTTCTCCATCATTCTCCCAAAGGTTGTCGGCGCTTCTTCCTGGAAGCCATCCGCCAAACCCCGCATCCTGTCACCCATATAGGTCATCAAAGGTCCCAACAGGTCGCAACCGAAGCGAAGTGGAATTCTTCGTTGAATCTTTTGAACAAAAACCACCATTTCTCGCCCCATGTGCTTGTTCCCCCGCATCCTGTCACCCCTCTCCGGATCCTGTTCGCTCCTTCGGTCGTGACCGGGCCGGCGCCGGCGGAGCGAGGTGAAGGAAGCGAAGCACTTCGAGGCACGTGGTTCGGTCCTGGAAGTCGGTCGGTCGCGAGAGGTCGCAGCGGAGTTTCCAGGCGAGACATGGTGTTGGGATGGGTGAGCTCAGTTACTTCGGTTTTCCATGGTTTGATGACTGCGATCATCAAAAGGGGATCCGGCTGTAGTTGACGCACTTTTCCCCAGAGTCAGAGTAGTGCCCAGGCTGTCACGACTTTCAGGTTTGGATCATTTGGTTTTGCAACTGATTGCAACTGTTTTCAATGGGAACCCTCAGGTTGCATCCCCTCATAGCAAATGTGGGCAAGTGACCTACTGGGCTAATTAGAAGGCCTCGGTGCTCAACATACACATCAGTGGCTCCTGTGTTTTCCCCTATGTGTGTGTGTGCGCGCCGCTGCATGCCTGTTAGAAAAACATGTATATATGAACCATATTGAACCATTATATGCAGAGTCATTGCTTTGGGAAAGAGGCAGATGAGTAAAAAAGAGCTGTATAGAGCCTTTGAAATGGGTGGAGGTTCAGTGGTTATAGTTATAGAATGTTATAGATTTCACATGATCTCACCATTACCCAGACACCCCATGGGACTGCGATATTTGCCGATCAGTTGGGCTGGTTTGGGGGGGTCATGGGGCAGCATATATGGCAGTCTTATGGAGTGTGTGTTCTTTTTTTGCGGACCCTTCTTGGCCTCCAAAGCTTTGGTAGGAGAAGGCCCTCAGGTGAAGCGTCCCCCAACCCCATTCACCACACCGCCTCAGGCGCTGACTGCGCGGATGGCCAGCACCGGATGGAAGCCCTCCGACTTGCTCCGGCTCTTGGCTTTGGCGCCTCGGCGGTGCCAATGGAGTGGGTGGGGAGCTGTTTTTCCAAGAGAGGTTGAGAGACCTTATAGGACCCTGTAGTGGTACATATGGGATGGGCTATAAGGCTGTTCAACCTCTCTTGGTTTGTTCCGGATTCTGAAATTGGGGCTAGCGAGCTGGAACCCCCAGTGGAACGTACCAGATGCCATGGGCCAGCGGTTTCAAGGTCCTCCACGGTTTCGGGCGGGGGACACGGAACCGGTGCTGGGTACATCGAGGCGGTGGACAGGCCGTCCGGACGTGGACGACAAAAGCGCGGTCCAACTGGTTGATGCAGCAATCCCAGACACGACATCCATGGGACTATACAGTTGTTGCGGAAGGTGGGAAGGTGGTTTCAGACTCCGGACATGTTGCACCAACCAAGCAAGTCTCACAGTCCCAGACACGACGCGACTAATGGGACTGGCATATGTTACATACATTGACCCCTTTTCAATCAACCACCCCTGGCCGTTTCTCGGTAGTCCTATGCCAGTCCCATGGAGTATGGAATGATGCCGGCTGTCCCACTCACTTCCAGAGTTTCCACGACAAACCATGGAAGCAATGAAATCAACTGAACAGATCGAAGTGACAAAGACACGTATTACGACAGATGATTCCGTTCTGATGTCGCTTCTTTTCACCATGCCATGCCACAAAAATGGTGGGGACACTTCGTGGCTTCGAAGCTTTCCGCTTTCCCTTGCTTCAACCCGCCGAAACCGGTGCCGTCACGGCTTTCCCTTCGGGGCCGGCGTCACTCGTATGACAGCAACTAGTCGTCTACGTCGTGTTCCGTCGGACTCCGACGGACGGGGCCGACCGGACGGGGCGGACGTCCGGACCTCGACGGGGCCGAGTTCCCCTTCGTCCGGAGCGACGGCGAGAAGTTCCACGCCTTCTGGACCCGACGGCTGCGTGCCTCGGCGGTCGCGTGACCGACGGGTGACGGACGGAGGGTTGGAAGGACGACCCGGGGCGGAGGAGGAGGCCCCGGCCTATTCGGGTGGGACAGGAAACTGGCAGGTGTTTTGGTTGATGGTGTGGAACTGGGTCCATGTATATCTCAAGCTTGGGGGGTCATGGTCGGGTTGGGGTGGTGGAAAAGGGTCGAAAAGTGTTCAGCTTCTGTTTCCTATAGGGCAAAGATATTGTCCCATGGTCTAAGGACTTTGTTGTAGGAAAGAACGGGAAAGGAGACACATTGATATTACAGCAATTACTGACTGTATGATACTGTATGTATTTGCATGTCATCATACTTGCACAGCCTTGTGCTCCAGAGAAGGAAACGGGCAGGAGGAACAGTGGACAAGATCAATGTAGATTGATGGACAAAGATGCAGGCATCGAGCCGATTGAACACATGAATGTGTGTACATAATATTTGTGGGTGCATGGATTGGCACCACCAAAGTAAAAGACATCTTTTTTCCAGGGCACATGACCATTTTGGATATCGTTTTGGACTCCCAGGGTAGGAGGACATTGACAAAAACTATCAAACATTGCATCATGGTTAGGATGATCTCGGCTCATCTGGGCACAGCCTTGTTTTAAAGGAGCACCAAAATTGCGTGACTGGACAGTAGCCTGGGTTCCATTTAGCCATTGATCTGCCAGCATCTGACAAACCAGGTCTCTTCTAGAGTCTAGAGAGGAGTCGTCTTCTTGGCCGGTCTGACCCGGTCAGTCCTTTGCACGCGGATCAGCGGAGACAGAGAGACACGCAGAGCACAGCTCCCACATGAGTGACTCACCTCCGAAGGAGGGCCCGATGGCAAACATTGGCCCGAGTGTTTGGGCCTGACACATCGGACCTACGGACGCATGGACCGCTGTCTTCGTCGGCATGACGTGTTGGGAAGACGATGTTCTTCCTATTTCAGATGAGACTCGAGGATTCTTTCGGAGAACAACCAGGTTCAAGACCCTCCACCTTCACCATGTGCCACTCCGCGCCGCAGTGCCCATGAGCTCCGTTGTCCTGCGCAGCGCCATGCACGACTCATCTCCGCATCGAAGCGCCCCCTTTTTTGGAGATCCGCACCGGGCACAGTTCTGGAGTCCTTGACCTTGCTTATCCCTACACCTCCGGGCCTCGGCCGCCCCCGAAACCGTTTCGGGACAGGGGTGGGTTTAGGGGGTCCAACCACCTGAAAACCTGAGGATATAGGCCAGGAACCCCTAGGGTGATGTAACATGATATAACTACCTGGACCTGAAGACAGGGGTGCCCTGTTTGGAGGTCCCTGATCGTGGCGGGCTGGGGCGGAACCAGCCAGGTGATCCCGAACTGAAGGTGCTGGTATATAATATTATGCAATTCAATAGGACAGATGAGGTGGGAAGACGAGCCTTTTCTGCCGGATCGTGGAACATCCCGGGTACGCCATTTGCACCTTGCCTTAGGCGACAAGTCTTTGCCCGACAGCGGCCGGCCGACACGGGAAGAGCTCGCCACTTGAGCATCGGAAACTGGGGTGCTGGGCTTAAGCTGGAAGATCGAGGTAAGTGGTCTAATGTTGTATTTAGGCGTTTTATGGTGCGTCATGGTGTTATAAGGTGTCATAAGGATTCATAAGGTGTTATAAAGTGTTATACATTCGTTAAAACAATATATACTAAATATAGTACGTATAGATGTACGTAGCCAGTGGCGAACTTCGCGGTGGTCCACGCGACTCCCTGCACCTCGGTTTCAGGGCGAGGGCCGGTTGAACTGAGAGGGACTGAAGTCCAACGGGGAGACGCATGGTCCAACTGCTTCAGTGGTTCAAACATTGCATGGATGTCCTTCATTTGCACGTGTCACGTGGCTAAATCAAACGCTTATCCCACGTCTGGGATGTAGAAAACCACCTTAGCCTAGGTCAACGGTAGGTCTCGGTCTCGACCTCTCGGTTTGTTGATGGTTTTTCATGTGTCGGTTGTGATGGGAAGCTTCCCATACTCAGTCACGTGTTCAGGTGGAGTCACGTGTGAACTTGATGAGGTTGACCAAGCTTAGCAGGCGTTCAGAAGTTTGACGTGGCTGCCAAGTAGATGGGATCATTTCCCCAATGGACTCATAGTAGACCCCCGATTTGATAGACCAAGACATGTACTGAGCTGGGGTGCCAGAGAGGGCCATGTCGAAGCTCTGAAAACCAGTCTCAAACACGACTAATGGGACTGGCATAGGACTACCGAGAAACGGCCAGGGGTGGTTGATTGAAAAGGGGTCAATGTATGTAACATATGCCAGTCCCATGGAGCGTCGTATCTGGGACTGTGAGACTTGCTTGTTTGGTGCAACATGTCCGGAGTCATCCGGAGTCTAAAACCACCTTCCCACCTTCCGCAACAACTGTATCCCTATAGAGTCTCACTCGGCCCAGGCTTCAATTCGTGGGAGGCAGCATGAGCTGTGGCCCCCGGAGCCCAAGGTGGAGGAACAGCGACGCTGTGGACACCTGCGGCTGGGTGGACGGACGTCGTAGAACTGGCCGAAGAAGTACGGCCAGCACTGGTGCCCGTGTGCTGGGCTGGAGGATGGACCTAAAGCGCTGCAGCACTTGTGCACTGATTAAGACCGGTTTGAGGTTCGCCTCCCAACGAAGTGCTGCTGGTGACTTGTCCTGTGTATTCCCGTATCGTTGAATAGGTATGAATAGGTGGATTCCCGCTTTCCCCTTGGTCCATGAACTTCCAAATCCGTTCACATTCTTTTCGGCAAGAGGTGCTACAGTGGCAAGATGTGCTCGTTCTGATATCGAAGGCCCACCTTGATGGGGTTTTCTTCACGCTCTTCTTGGCAGACCAACAGAGGTGGGTCAGAACCCGAACTAGACTATCCTAGTTCGGTACCCCTGGTTTTCCGGGTCCTAGTGACCTGGTCACTGGAGACCTCTGTTGGGAGATCCCTGTCCCGAAGTCCGAACAGCGGCGAGACCGACCTCGTCTCCAGGAGCCTCCGCCGAAGAAGGCCTCGTGTGGAACCTCAGCTGAGTGACATAGTTTTGACCCGGATCCCGTGGGCCCCTTTTTGGATCCAACTTAATATACCTGGAGTCTCAGTTTGTACCTCGGAAAATGGGTACAAGTATGTAGTCTTGTACCTGTTTTTAATGGGATCATGTTCCATTTTCCGGTACTTTGGAGGGTCCAGGTACTGGTCTGATGGTTTGGCAGCTTGGCACACAAGGAAGTGCTGTCAAAAAGATGACAAACCAGCACCTGGCTGGACCTCGGGGTCACCTGGCTGGTTTCGCCCCAGCAGGGACCTCCAGACAGGACATCCCGAAAGAAGGTCCAGGTAATTATATATAATTCGTGGTATAGACTGATGATGAATAAAAGAACACACCATTTGAATAAAACCTCATATTGGGGGGTGAAATATCATCAACAGTCGACAGACATGGCTGTCAATGAGGTCTTTGAATTCAGAGAATGGGGTGCCCCACTCTCTCGTGTGGCACAATATAGCGAATATAGGGCATATGCCTGGAGACCCAGTGCCAACCAGAAAGAAATGGATGGAACGAAACCTCGTCCCAGCCATTTCCTAGTAAAGGATCTCAAGCTGGCGCCATATTGGGTTCCAACCATTTGTTGCTTTGTTTTGGTTCCCAGGTATGTCTAGACCAATGTCTTACTCTGTATCCAGGAAGGAGACCCGTTCGGCCCCGAAGCTGCGTCACATGGTGTGTTCGGTCCATTTCACCACGGCGAGGTCGGTCCTGCCACTGAGCCGGGATAGGTCGGCAGTCCCGGACACGAAGAACGAAGCTTTGTCCTTTGCAGGTTGAGAGAACGGTGACCGGCCGAAGAAGAAGTGGTTGGCGAGTGGTCGAAAAGGGACCGGTGGTTGAATCGATGTCAGGGGTAGGCAGATCGATTCCTGCCCCCTGATGGCAGATGATGGCAGACTGAAATCCAGGTCTTTCAGCCTGGGAGAGATGTTTGGTGATCAATCAGGCCAGCAAGAGAAGCCAAAAAGCTCGACCTCAGGTGTAAGGATTGGTCACAAGTCATGAACAGAATATAACAGAATAATCGATCAAGTCAGGCCAAGGTTTTTTGTTGCGCTTTGGATGTCAGTGGAAAGTTCCTTGATTTAATAGTTTGCAGTTTCTCCTCAACCCTGGAGCCCGTCACAAAAAAAAGCACCAAGCCAAACCATCTATGTACTAAGCCAAAACCACCACCAAATCACAAACCACCACCCAAATCACCAAAATCACCCTAAATCATCCTGTTCACCCCCAAGACTGAAGCAGCCTCCGTCACGTGTCGCTGTCCGCTCTTCGAGGCCCGACCAGGTGACCAGGCGCGCTCCGTCCATCCCGCTTCGACCGGCCGTGACACGGAGGGGACGTGGGGTGGGAGGAGGTGCGCTGGGAGTGCAGGTTGAAGGTGGCAGATGAAGGGTTCAGCAGCCCCCAGAAATTCATCTCTCGCCAGTAACCCTTCATCTACTGAAACATCTCCCACCTGGTCCACCCGTCTATCACCAGCCCCTGTAAGGAATTCAGTTCGACTATAGACCCTAGAGATCCTCATAGATCTGCATTAAATTGAATTTGAAGACCTCAAGATCTTTCCTAGGGGTGTCTATTAATAGCCCCTTAGCTGTTAAGTTAGGGGTGTCCATTAACCACCCCGACTGGGGGTGCTGGTATATAGACCCCCTCAACTAAGAAGAAGCTCCAGGACTCGACGCCATCACCGAGTCGTGGTAAACGGGTGCCGGAGTGTCTGTCCCGACGTCGACTTCGTCGACTCCGCTCCTTCGGCCGTTCCGGTCGCCGCCCGTCCTGCCCTCCATGGCACCACCCCAATCGGCCGTGAGTTCCTCGGCAGAACAGACTGGCAGTCCCGGGCCCAGACAGGTCATGTCTGGGCATATCCTCAGATCGGTCCAGAGTCGAACCGGATCTTTCTTTTGGGGGGCTCAAAAGAGGTCGTGTCCCCCCGGGGGTCACTGTTCAGCTTGGAACTAGATGATTTTTCAATCCGTTCGATCGTCCAATATAGGTGTTGTATACTACTTGTAGGTGTTGTGTGTTGTTTTTTTCCATACATCCAAAGCCGAAGTCTAATTGGGTTCCTTCTTTGGTTGATGACTCCCTGCAAAAAAAACAACACTTCCCATAGGGGGGCACTGTTGTCCATTTGATTGGAGTTTTTAGTTTAATATGATCTCTGTCAGTTGTGGAGTTCCACTGAAGCCACTTCGTCACGCTGTGCAGGGAAGAAGCACCTGCCGAGCCAAGACAGACCACGAAGAGCACGACCAGCCTTCGGCAGGGTTCCGACTGGAACAGAAATTATGGAAGATATGGCTGGACGCCTTGGAGAAGATTCAGAACCCCAGACGCTTCATGTACCCTCCGAATTCGAGGTGTCTGGCAAATAGCCTCAGTATAGTGGTGATGATTCGGGGTGTCCTTCCAACCACCGGACTTGGTTTCGGTCCTGGTATGGAATATATGCCGATCAGGCCAGGGGTGTAGTGCCAAGAAGGTCGATGCTCCACGGCGTGCCACGACCGACACGTCATGCCCGGGGAAAAGCGGGACTGGTTTTGACTGGTTTTGACCCACAGGCAAGCTGTTGTCGTTTTTCTTTAAGGTCCAAAAGACATGAGAGTGGTCTTGGCACTGCAAGAGGATGCCAGGGTGACGGCTTAGAGGGACGAGCAAATTGAGTACTGTAACTGATTGAAACTGGGGGTGATACCCAGTGCCTTGTCATATTTTTTCTGCCTGAGTCAAAGACTAGACAAAGAATGCTCTGACGAACGAGGACCTGATTTCAGGAAAAGTATCGTCCAACTGCAGTTCTGGAGGATTCCTGGTGCATGCGATGCACTGGGCAAGTTGTTTCGTTTGGGACGACCATGGTCTATGTTTGAAACTGAAATTCATGTGCAGAGCACCAACAGATCCTGGAGTTTTTAACTCAATAGGGCACCTGTCATAACGTTTCTATATCTAGTGCAAGATATGCTCAATCGGACCGCCCTTGTTGAAGACTTCGATCTTCGATCAGCTCCCATGTTTCGGGGTTGTGCGGAGTTTGCAGATGCCCAGGAAAGATTGGAATGATCAGAACTATTCCAGGAGTGGAGAAGATCGTGGAGGATATTGGAAGAACCGAGAAAAGCACGACAGGTACAATAGCAGAGAAGAGGAGAGGGACTACAGGTACAGGAGGAGGGAAGATGATCGGGATGACCGGTACAAGAGAAGCAGAGAAGATGATCGAGACGACAGATACAGGAGCAAAGACAGGGACCGAGACAGGGACGAAAGATCCAAGAGGAGCAGAGAAGATGAGAAAGATCTCAAGGCAAGTCGGAAGCCTGGTTTTGCTTAAGACGATGTGTTCTTCTTCATTGTTAAATCCCCCAATTGACCTGCCCTAAGAATCCGGGCCCTCAAATCCGTAGGGCTTGGTTCGGGTCCGGACCCCTGATATGAGGAGTCCGACCCCTGCCATCGAGAGCCCGAGCTCAGATTCTTAGGGTGATGTTTGATTCTTTCCAGTTCCTGGCAGCACATCCAAGGAAGGAAGAAAAGAGAGAAGCCAAGAAGGACCGCCGACCGGTCACGTGACCGACTCTGGCACCAGCACTCGGACCAGCGCACTCCTGGGACCGTCGCTTTGTTCCGCGCGGGCGGTGTTCCACGCGCGCGGCACAGGGCGTGGTTGAGAATTTCCATATGCCACATGCCCCAGACACTCCATGGGACTGCCATATATGCCTACATTGACCCCTCAAACCACCACAACTGATCGGCAGTCCTATGGCAGTCCCATGGAGTGTTTGGGTGCATGTGGTGTCTGGGTCCAAAGTGCGGTTAGCTCGAAAGTGCTGAATTCTGAATCGTTCGTCACCCTCAGCGTTGTTGCTTCGCTCCAGTTCGACGATCGGCACCGAGGTGTTTGGGAAGTCCTTGGTGACACCTCGGTCGGACTCCGCCAGGGTGTCCCAACAGGTTCCCTGAATGAGCTGGGTCCTTTTGGGCCACCAACCCAACGTAATGGAGGCATATGGAGGCAAGGAAGGCATGGCTTTGGGCATGGAGGAACAACACATGGAGCCGGAGCGTTAACCTGGTTGATGTTTCGCATTGATCTGCTTGTCTCTGATTCCATCCATCCCCTTTCGCGTTCCTTCCCAAGTCATCCGATGAAAGTCTACCACCAAACCCAGGAACCGATTTCTCACACGATCTCAGTCTACCACCGATCTCTACTCGAGGTGTCTGTCCTGACCTCGCCATCGTTTTTAGAGGTTCCTGAACGGGGTGTCTTTCAAGACTACCGAATTTGGAAGGTCCTGGTACAACGATGTTCTTTGCTTGAACACCATTCGATGGCCGCGAGCCATTCTCCTGCTCCCAATCTAAGAGCCATGCTGAGCCTGTCACTTCCGTCACTTCCTTATTGAAACAACCAAATCCAAGAAAAACAGATCCAACAGCTGTTCAACAGCTCAGGGCGTTCTTTTCGCCAAAAGCCTCCCCCAACCCCAACCCGAAGAGCTCTCGTTCAGGATCCTCGGAGCCGCAGCGGCCGGAAGGGGCGGAAGGCGCGGCGTTTGGATCACACGGTGGTCGCGTGGCGGGTCATACCGGTCGGGTTTGGACAGGGTGGCGGGTCGTGGGGTTTGGAGTCTGGAAGAAACACACCAAGAACATGAGGAAATCACGATCATATAATTACCAGCTCCTTCACAGGGGTCACCTGGTTGGAAGCCTTTGCCCACTACTTAGGGATCTCCAGACAGGACACCCCGTGGAAGTCCAGGTATGAACTCCGATTCATGGATGATTTCAAGGAGTGTAGGGATGGAGATGTACCAGCACTCTCCTCTGAAGGCTTTTGGAGACTTAAAAGTTAAAAGTGTAGATAGTTCATGGTAAATTGATGAGCTCAAGATGCCATCGTTCAGGTGCCGGGGTGGGGTTGCTGGCAGCCATGGGAAGATCATGGAAGATCGAAATGGATCCAATTGAGCGACTGGCCACGGATCAGAATCTCAATCAACTTACATTGGGCATAAATTAAGCCCAGCCCATCTGTGGCTGAAACCAACAACAAGCCACCGAACCAGCCACCGAAACCATGTCGAAAGCGAAGCTTTCGTGCGAAGGCTCGGTCTCGTGGGAGTGAAGCTCGGTCTCGGTGGCTTCCAGCCTAAGAGCTTCGAGCAGCTCTATAGCTCTACTACATAGTAGCTTCTTAGTTAACTAGTAGTTTTCCGGCCTCCAACCTACTAGTTAGTGATGGCCTCCAAGCGCCTTGCATGTGCTCAGTCGGAGTTTTGGACACTCGCGGAAACGACGTCAGGTGGACAAAGAGCGGACGGGAGACCAAGAGGGCGGCGTTGTCTCGGATTCAGGTAGTGAGGACCCTTTTTTTTGTTGGTTGATGAGTACCTGTGTCTTTTTTTTTGAAGTTTAATGGAACAGGACCAGGTGCAAGATTCATATTATACATATTTATACATAAACCAGCACCCTCCAACAGGTCACCACCAGGTCCACTTTTGAGTATCCATTTCAGCTACCAGAGGAGACCTGTTGGAGGGTGCTGGAACATTATACATTTACGTGAAATCGTTTAACCGCAATGCTGTTCCTGACCGTCTCTGGTTTCCTCCTAGCATGTCGCAAAAGCTGGTCAACCAACTGTAGGAGCTCTGTTATATAAAACGACGATCATCACGAATTAAGCGGCTCGGTGGGTGAGCCGATCTCGATGTGTGTGAATTGTTCTCGTTTTTTCTCGTCTTTGAGGACTGGCTGATCATGAAAATATGCATGTCCTCCATGAGGCCTCCATGGATTGATTGACGAGGGCACAGGACTTCACGATCCAGTTCAATACCTGGTGGAGGTTTTTGGGCAGTTTGGTCGAACGAAGAATTCGCCCTTCATCTCTCGTGGAGTCGCTCGCACCATTTTGCTTGTGATTTCGCTGGAGTGAACATGACGCTCGGAAGAAAAACAGAAACCTATCCAAGAGAGGTTGAACAGCCTTGTAGCCCATCTTATATGTACCACTACTGGGTCCTATAAGGTCTCTCAACCTCTCTTGGAATATTGCCAAGTCCTTCATTGCCTTCATCGCCTGGTTTGTGTGGAGCGGTTCGATTGCGGTTCCCCAGATAAAGGGTCCGTATGGTCGCTCAAGGACCCATTGACACGTGGTTTTAGAGTAGATTGCACAATCCCCAAGTTTGGTGGTTTAACACGGAACCCATGATAGAACCCTACACCTCCGTCCAGTCGTACCGAACCTCAGGTTCGGTAGGACTGGACCCGACCGACCATGCCACCCCCAGAACATCCCCAAACCACGAAACGAAGGTACGACTGGAGGCAAAGACATGTTCACGTGCCCCCAGACGCTCCGTTCACAGGCCTTTCCCGGTCCCGCACCAAACCATAGGGATTGGTGAGAAGGTCCGGACCCCTCCAGAGGATGACCGGGTACGGGTCCGGCGTCGCCCTGTCGTGCCAGTTCTCACCGTGGCGAACCCGTTCCATCGGCCGAGCGGTTCCGGTTTCCGACAGCCACAGTGTACTGCGGGACGGCCGTGTTTTGTGTTGTTTTTCGGTAGACACACCCTTCACCGTGCCACTGAGTGCACCCCAAAGATATCGTGTTTTCATGGTTTTGGCAGACTGGGGGCGACCATTTTGGAGGTTCGCGAGCCGCGTCGGGCCGAGCGGCAAAGGGTTGATCAGCCCAGGGCTCCTCAACCCCGAAGGAACGTATGTGACCGCTGGCATTCCATTTGGAACAGTACCATGTATTTTTTGTTGATTACATGTGATGTTCAATTGTTCAAGGCTTTTGTTGCATACGTCTGGTTGATGCCTCCCACAGTTGTCACACATGATTGGCGCTTGCACGCAGTTTGCAGGTGCAGGGACCCTGGAAAGAAGGACCATGGACTTCGAGGGTCCACGCGCACCAGACTTCACAGGCTGTTTGGAGACCCCGAGCACAGGTGGTGAACCTGGGCACCTGGCCAGGAGGGTGCTGGTAGTTATCTTGTTTGGTTCATATTAAGGTATATATAGTATTCCAATGGTCAGTCCGTTGCCAATCGGTCCGCGCGGAACCCCTCGACCACTCTTGCCGACCGCGGACATTCACCAGGTCAACACGACCCAGGCGCAGACGAACGGGTGGACCACTGAGGACCGGGAGTTTGCGAGGAATACGTGAATCATGATAGGAAGGTCTTCTTTAATTACGTTGATCGCTTTTTGGAGTTTTGAAGTCAAGAATTGTTCAAGATTTGGTGGATGCATTCATGTTGCTGGTGGGCGTCGAATTGCGGCCATTTTTTGTTGTCTGTTTGTCTTTGTTTTTTGGCAATAGTGACTTAAGGATATTAAGGATACAAAACATATTCATAACTTCAATCCACATTCATCTCAAGTGTTTGATCATTAAATGTTTACCAGCCACGTTCAGTTGTTGGTTTTAACTCCTGAAATGTTGATGCCTTTATCATGGATGGTCGAACCTGGCATTGATTCTGAGAGCACTGACCAGTTGAAACACTCCTGATATTCTCAATTATGTTGGCCGAACTATGAGTATGAGTTTTTGGTGTGTCTTTTGGCTACAAAGGCTTCAAGGTAAGCATCAGGAGGACAATATGAGTAATAATAACATGTAATAACGGTGTTCGGCTGGCGCCATGCAAATCAACATGTTGATATCTCTGCGAGACAGGTTGTTTCAACAGGACAACAAATTGCCGCCAATGCCACATATTTAGGGATTCTGGGACGCATCCCATGGCCCACGAACATCCCATGGCATGGATATGTTACAACTAATTTTCATTGACCTGTTCTGTACGCAGATCCAGCAAATCTCGATCACGGCGCAAACGACGATCCAAAGATCGAAATAGATAAAATATATGTTTAAATAGAATATTGAAATATATTGAATTATTTATATATAATGAATTTAGAGATAGAATATATTTATATCGGATTATTGAAAAAAAAAAATCTATATATATATATATATATTTTTTTTTTTTTTTTTTTTTTCATTTTATTGATTTATTGATTCTTAAATATATATATAAATAAAATAACAATATGTCGATATATATTATTGATATTAATATTTATAGATTGAATATATTTAAGTATTAATTGAATATATTGAATTTATATTATCTAGGTTTAAGATAGGTGCGAAGATGCTTCTGTATTTTAGTATGCGTTTATGGTACGGTACGACGGTACGCATTATGGTGCGATAGTCTGTGGAGATGGTACGCATTATGGTGCGACAGTTTGTTGAGATGGTACGCATTATGGTGCGATTGTTTGTTGATATGGATGGTACTTTACGATATGTTGTGGTCTTATGAATCTTATGGTTTACATATTAACGACCGGATAGCTTAGAGGCTTTCTTTTGATGATAGACTTTGAGTTTCGAGTTCTGCTTTTTGTTGTATGTTTGCGGAGATAGCTATAGCCATTTCGTAGAATGTTGTGTTTGATGTAGTGTGCACTAACCTTAGATGAATGATTTATTATATGTTATATCCTTTCACTTTGTTTGATATGGGTTGTTTGCATGTACGATGCAAGCGACACAGAATCATAACTCCCAGCTTGTTTGATAGCACTATGGGATTTGACAAGTATACTTATCTTTGACGTTCGGGCATGATCGAATTATGAATATTTTCTTAGTTTTTTTTGTCTACTGCCATGTATCTGGGATGATGGTTGGTGGTGATTTGCGAACGATTTTGCAGCTATGTTACGGCAACTTAGCCTTGATTTATTTGCACAAACAATGCTGCAAGTTACTAGACTGTGCTGCGCTGTAACAATACTGACTAGATTATATATAAAAATATAAAATATATATATATATAGACTATAGAGTAACAGAGTCTTTAGTTAGATCAAAACTAGACTAAACCATCTAGGTCGATTGCACCATCCATGAACGTCGACGACATAATAAAGTCAGTTAGCGTTACATGTTGTAAGGTGTGATGTTTTCAATAAACTTGTTGTTGCATCAAGGTCTTAAAATTTGAGGGTTGAACTTGGAATTATTGTGTGCTTTTGGTTTCAAGAAACGATAATAATATAAGTTTTGTGTTATTTGGTTTTTTTTACAACATGTTTGCACTTGTGATTTTAATATCTGTACCAATTATGTATGATCTAGCCTAAACGTGTCCGTCTATGCAAGGACTGAGTGGGCAGGATGCTGTCAATCGACGACTGAGTGGGTAGGATGCTGTCAATCGACGCTCCTTATTTGAGCACTATTAAACCGCCATTGATGATGAAATACATCTGTAAACCATTGGCATTCAACACACATGAACCAGATGTACGGGGTTGCTCGTGTACTTTAGAGTCCTTGAACACATGCTGTTCTAAGGACGACGCTTGAGAAGAAACAAATCCAAGGATGAGATGATCAAGCAACCTGAAACATCTATGTTTACTGGGGACAGTGATGAATATAATAGTTTTAGATAATGAAGACTCAGACTCCGAGATATAGTCTTTTATATTGCTTTATAAATATATTATTGACATATTATGGCTCACCGTTGGGTCTCAATTCAGCAGTCTGGTTTGATGGGGATCAATTGAAATGTTTAATCTCATACACACAATTTCTTTTGGTCTTGTGTCATGGTGACAGACTGAGCACTACACCACCCCATCATGTTTCGCTGAGGCAGGTGGTGAACGAAACAAATTCTCTGACTATAAGACGTGGACGATTATGGATCACCAAGAAGGGCAAATTTGGCAGGACCAAACCGCAGGGCCGGGGTAAATACAAAGCGTTTACTCCTAGGGCTATGCTGGAATCTGTGTTTCTTGACATGCTTTTTGTCATTTGTCTGGTGCACTTTCAGTTTCATTGCTGAGGTGACAAACTACTTTCGTTTTCTCCTAATTATAGTCATTCATGAATCATTGCTAAGGCTAGGAAAGATGCCAACAGTATCAGCGATTGGACAAGTATCAAGTGTTCGCCGTCAAGTTCCGGCTTCCTGAATGTAATGAATGTTTTTATTTATTCCACTAGTTATTAGTTCTAATTTGCACTTTGTTTGAGAAGCTATACTGACTAGAAACTAGGCACGTTGCATTTTCGGGTTCAACTTTGCCATCACATCATCTGTCAGCTAGGCTAGGCCAGGCTGGTTGTTTTATTTGTTTTCGAGGACAGGACATACGTGTGCATTTTATGTGTATGGTAGAATGATGCATGTCAGTTGGCAGCGGGTGAGATACACAAGCAATACCACGTGCACGTTCCAAGGCAATGTTTTCTCTATCCTCAATGGCATTCTGGTATTCATCGTCTACCAGGTATTTGACAGCTGTTGCTTGATGAAGATTCACAAACCAGGACTCTGTAGCACTGTAAGTGTCAGATTTCTGGACAGGTGAATAGACTGAGCAGAAAGACTTTAGTTTAAAGTAGTTACACAAATATTTATATTTATAATTATATTATATAAGAAATATCGTTGTTGAAAATTCATAAATAGTTACAATCCTTCCACCCCTCACAACAATAACAAACAGATCAACACGCCACATAATATATATATATATGCACATAATAATGATTCAGTAGTCAATTGACAAACAACAAAACAAAATATATATATTTGTCAGTTCGTCTACTATGTGTTCAGTTTGTGGTTGGCATGTTGTGCGGTGTTAAAATACAATACAGGCCAAAGGCTAAAGTGTGAAGTGGCCAAAACACATTTGCTGCTGTCTGTTAAGGTTCGAGACGCAATCTCACACTTGTTCCTGAAGATGCAGAAAGCACTGATGATCGTCAGTTGCAAGGCGCGTTTTTCTGATGAGGTCATGAGTGATTCATTTCTATCATAGGCGGTCTCAATTTTTGGTCTTTGATAATATGATGCAACACAAAGTAGGCAATACAAACCCTAAGATTTGCTGGTGAGTTCTGCTGGCAAGAAACGCTGTTCAGGCTCGGCCACACATGATGAAGGTGCATGTGGAATGGGATGAAACTGGACAGGCGTGTCGACTCCGCAAAGATTTGATAGAAGTTGATGGGGTCATGCCTGCTTTGGTAATTTGGCTTATCAATTGTTTAAACTAGTTCTATCTAACTATATATAATAATACACACATATGAGTAAAGTTTTCGTCACAACTCTAATGTAAAGTGTGGTCACACACACACACACTAGTCACTAGTCGCTGCTCGTTGGTTGATACTATTATTCGGAATGCTGAGCTACTAGCACTGGTATGTTAGTCTTGGTTTCTTGTCTTTTCAGTGCAGATTCAATATCACCGAACACTCACCCAAAATCCAGAAGTGTACAACTCACTGGATCGAACACAGTGAGGTGCAGCGACTGGAACTCCTGGAGAGGAAAACAAGCATGTCTTCGGCTACCAAGCTGCTTGGAGACTTAAGTACGTTGTAGACATGTGTTACAAGTTACAAACATTAGTCCTTTGTAAGATAATTTAGAGGTTATCTCATTTTGTCTATGTCGAACACTGCTGAAGCCCATTGTTTTGGATAATGTACCAAAAGAATTCTGTTGATTCACCACAAGCACACATAAGGAAGTAGTTGAATTTGTTGGAGCATTTTGGAGATGAGTGGTTTGCGTTTAGATGAGGCACACCACTGTGGTGATACCTCCAGCTATTATTCCCGATTCGACTGCAGAGAGCATTTGGGGTGGCATGCTGACAAAGCAACCAATTCCTCTCACAGGCAAGTTCAAAAAACACAAGTTCATGAAGTCAACAATCAACACATAACACACGTTGAGGACTTTTTGAACGCATGCAGCATGAGTTCAAGAATATTGCAAACCTATATTACTGAGTAAGTACATCTGTCTCTCCGCCCAGACTGGTCTTCGCATTGCGATCGTCTATGTGTGCAAATGATGGCAGACGGAGCAGGCTTGATGTGTCTGTGAACTGTGTTTTATGAATTATTTATGAATGAACTATGTTCAGTCCAGTCGATCTGAACATCTTAGAGTAATCAGGCGCTAACACTCGCTTGGCGAGCATGGCTTTTCAGAAGATGCCTCAAGACACTTGGAGATTGTTCAAGACCTGCGACACGTACCTAGGCTGCTCTCAATAACATAATTTAATTTGCGTTTGAAGGTAAGCAGTTCCGTGAAGCATCGTTGCAGTCATACAAAGCTAGTCAACCAATCCAACCAAACATAACAACGATACTAACTTTGAACTGTTTGCACAGTTCACCTTTGCTGAAGATACCGCTGGACTGAATCATTATGTTTGCATCCATTTGTGCACCACAAGGCATCAAGCCAACCATTGTGCGGAAGGTGTTTGGCGGGGATTCAATTGCCTTCCTGCAATGTCGTTTGCCTAGAGCTTCTTGAGAAGCTGAGTTTGACTTCACAAAGATTGAATCATAATACTTTGCGGCATAATGCAATATGTAACAACATATTCATTTGTAGTGCTGTGGGAGCATTCATGAGACAACAAGCTGATAGCGCTAGCTAGGTTTTGTCTATGCAACAACCTCCAGTACGGCGCAACCCGGTTTCACTTGCTACAACACATTTGGCAGATTGTGCGAAGCAGCACAAAAGTCATATATGGACAGATGCTCGGACTGAATGTATTTGGTCGGTGTGTGCTCAAGTGCATGAGTGGAATAACCAAGTATGTATGTTTTCACTTGTTCCACAGCATATTGAATCATTTTGCTTTATCAAATTGATACAGGCCAGATCCATCGGTGGTTAGACAGAACCAGATGCTGCTGTATGCAACCTTTTTGCACGAGACGTGTGCTGATGACCTTGATGATTTAGAAGAATGTGAAAGCGCTTCCCTGGCCAGTAG